AATGTACAAGAGAAAACATCACTAGTGATTTGTTAACTGCAGACAAATCTATAAAAAATATCATTTAGTCCTAATGTTTAAATATGTTTTCCTGTTTAGGAGTTTCTTTTACCACACCTCAGCTGAAATCTGAACTTAGGCTGGCTGTGCGGGAATGCCTGTTCTGTTAGGAGACTTACAGGAAGGAGCATTCAATGTTAGTCTAAGGAGCAGGCAGTTGCAGTTGGGTTGGGGGGGGGGGGGGGGGGTTACTGTCATTATGGAATGCAATTGTAGATTGGGGTATGCGGTTACTGTTGGGAGGCAAAACATTTCCTATATATGTTTTAGTTGTATGCTTAGACCTATATCTGAAGTTCGAATTAAAGGTCCAAAGATTTTAAATCAGAAATTAAGAACTATTTCAGCTCACGATCCTCATTTAAACAGTAATACAGAAAGAAAAGTAATAAGGTTTAAAATGATATAACACAATATGAAAAAAAAAACGCACACATATTTTGTTGGTGTAATGTAACGGTTTAAAAGAATTATATTTAAAGTAGAAATCTAGGGCCAAAAGATAATAATTTATATAAATAAATGATAGGATATATAAATGATAATATATGAAATAGTAATATATCATATTTAATATAAAATATATTATTTGTGAAACAATAAAACAGCGCAAAACATAAAATTAATTATACACAAATCATAATAAATTCTGTGGTTATAAAATAAATGTCCAAAAAAAACCTAAACGAAAAAAAATTATAAAATTTGTGTCCAAATACAAAACAAATGTTATACATTTTTTTCATTTTGGTGGTTTTGGACATTTATTTTATAAACACAGAATTTATTATGATTTGTATATAATTAGTTTTGATTCATTTTATGTTTTGCACTGTTTTATTATTTCACAAATTTTTTGATTTTTATCAAAGTTTTTGATTCTTATCAAGGCACAGCAGCATTCACTTTCAAATTTTTCACATAGTTCTTGAGGCGCAGGTTGTTTTTGTTTTAATATATATTATTTAGTTCTATTATTATACAGTATTTATATAGCGCTAAAAGGTTTGCTCAGCGCTGTACATTATAATGGGGGACAGAACATGAGACAATACAGTAACAAAAACAAAACACGAGGGGGTCAAGGGCCCTGCTCTAGTTCTATAAATATATATAATTTTTTGTAAATGTAACATTGACATCATCACTGTGCTGTATATACAGTAACTTTCACAATCTACACTAATATAGAAGGATTTTCTGGGAAACTTATATTTTTTGTTTTTTTTTTTTTTTTTTTTTAGTTTTTCAGAGATTCAGGAAAACCAGCTAGAGTGTTTGACTGGTCCCAGTAACACCACGGCAGATCTCAAAGTGACAGTTTGGTATGGAGAACAAGTGTTTAGCTTCTCAGATCCATTGTTTACCTACACTGCGACCCCAACATCACCTCTGCCAGCCCTTCCAAGAGCTTCTACAGGTATGGGGTGTCACACAATGTATAGTTATTATTTCTGTTTTAAGGGACATCTTTTTATAGGTAGATGTTCTTGTTATTACATTACTGTATCACAAAGTTTTTTTCTTCCTTTTATTTGGAACTTCCTAAATAGGGTGTGCTTTAAATTCTCATTACTTCCTCCAGTCACACATGGACAGCATTAAATCATAATTTTGTAAATTTTTTTTACATTTTGAGGCATTTCTTTTTAGTCGCAAGAGGAAGTCCTAAACCCTGAGGCTAATATATATATATATGTATATATATATGTATGTGTGTGTATATATATATATATATATATATTAATATATATTTTATATATATATATATATATTCTGTATTCATTCAACATCTGTTGCATAACAGTTGCCTATTGTGAGAGGAAATTGTTAACACACCTGCTACCTTTCTTGCAGCAATCCCCTCCACTCCCAAGACATTGCAATTTAATATATGAATATCAGAATATAGTTTGAAAAACAGTTCCTTGGTGCTATAGAAAGACTCTAAAAAGTTTGCCTAAGGATATACACAGGCATAGCAAATCATACTGTATTGTTTGAAATATAATTATCTCCTATAATCATCAGCTCCATCTACTTACCATAGTGCAGCTTTTTTCTGAAATACCCTAAATAAAAATAAAATACCGTGCTGTGGCCACTAGATAAAACTGACAATCGTAGGGGATAATCATATTACAAACAATATGGCAAATATTTTTTAATCCAAACAACTTTTATTGTCATGATAATAGAGAAAATGGAGCATTACTTACAGAATCCACAATGACTGCAACAGCAGGATTACACATAAATAGAACAACGTGGATACGCAGATCCCATAATGAACTAAAATCTGATCGTAGAACATTACTGTATCAAACCATTTCACATACATTTTGTCCCGAGTGCTTTGTCCGGCGCCCTGCCTGCATTTTTACTGTTCTTTCTGCCTGGAAACTGAGAAACGTCCATGGCGTCCAGAAAAGCGTCCCTTTAGGTCAAAAGCGGTTTCTAGACCGGCTAAGAACAGCGATAGTAAATTAGAACCACTTGCAGAATTGAGTGATAATGATTCGTGGGGAAATTTCATCATCAGACATTGAAAACGATTTTGCGACTTTACTCACGATGTGCGAACTTGGAGCTATATTTCAAATTTCAGTGTTTTTTGTTTGATTATATTATTGAATTAAATTTATTATTATTATATTTTTATTTTTTATGATTAGAATTTTATTAAATTATAATTTATGATTTCGTGTTTAAAGTTTTATCATACCCGGGATGTTTACTAGACTCTTGTTCGGACAGATTTCAGTGAGTTATTCCTAAAAATTACAGGCCTACAATAAAAAAACAACATATTTCCATTGAAAATAATGTACCACTTTGAGCACAGAAATATGGACATAATCAGACCACTAGGGGGGTTAACATACAATGCAGGAGGGGTGGTTTCTACAATTTTACCCCTTTTAGGACAGACAGTGTTCAAACCTAATGAATGCAGACACGGCGCACATTATGTTAAACATTACATCTAATTTTGGTAAACATTATTTCACAGCCGCCTCCTAAACATCACAAAGCGGGAGAGCGTGTCATGATTTTTATGCAAGTAAAAGGCACTTAAAATGATAACAAGCAATTTTTTTTATTTTTACATTATCCTATGTTAATGGGAATATGTAACAAATATAAAAGTAGGTGTTATCCTAATATGGCTGCAAAAGTGGAAATACACTAAAGTGTATCCAAATGTTTTTACACAAGTTTAGTTTCATCATAATCCCTCGCTGGAAGATTTGTATAACCAGTCACACCTGCCTTCGAACAAATGCCTCTGTTCTAAAATTCGGGAACCATGCGAATGAACACACTTTGCTAGCAATGTTTTATGTTTGTTGTTTTTATTTTTTCCTGAATCTGCTGTTGATTCTTGACCCTAGTGGGGGACGTGTGATCATGGTGTATGGGCAGAACTTGGATGTAGTGCAAGCTCCAAAGATCCGGGTGACGGGTGTCCCCAAAGGAGAGGAGAAGGAGGCGCAGTCCCGGGGAGGAAACGGCGTATTGTTCCAGAGACGGAATGCCTGGAGGGCTCTCTCTGCACTGTGCAGCAGGTAGAGATACCTTTTATTTACACTCTTAAGGGGAACTGCTCATTTTCAAAAATGAAAGTTTAGGGCCATTATGCTTGTCCTCTTGTCACTGCCTACAGCCCCTGGCACCCAACCTGTGACCCTTTGGTATATGATGTGTGTGCCCTCGGACCTCAGCAGTCTGTAAACATTGGGAACATTGTTTAGGGTAATAGCCAGGGCGGACTGACAACCAAAAGCAGATCGCAAAAGCACCAGTGCATACTTGCAGACTGACAACTCGTGGGCCCCCCGGGTAATAGGGGATCATGGGGTCCCCTGTGTCCTTGCCCACACTCAAACCACACCCAAATAAAACCTATGAAAGGTACCAGGGGCATCTCATAGGGCCCCCTACTGACCCTGGGCCCTCGGGCAGCGCCCAAGTTTCCAAATGGTCAGTCCGCCCCTGGTAATAGCATTGAGCTCTACTGGTCTCATGTAACATGTTCACAGTTTTTCTGCTGCAGCATATATCCAGCCAAAAAATATAGCATGTGCACGCTCTCTGACCCTCATTCCCCCTTTGGTGATGTCAGGGGTTGTCATAAGTTGTCAACCTTTGGCCTAGAGAGTCAGTTGCCATTTTTTACTTTTTTGGCTGCTGAGTCAGTTCACTAGGTAGCAGAGCAAAGATGACAATGACAGCACCAGTGCTTGTGGCATGGTAGGTACCATATTTCTGCCCTTTCAGTCAACTGCTAATATATATATATATATATATATATATATATATATGGCACAAGTAAACACAGCTCTGAATTTATTATTACATTTTAAATGTATTTTTTTAAAATAAAAGCAGTATAAGTACCTGAATTTGAGTATGTATCAACCTCCCTGTACAATGGAGCTCAGAGACAGAAAGCAGCAGCACAACTTGCCACACTCTTATGTCAGGAGGAAATAACAGAGTCACACAAAGATGAGCTAATCAATGTGCTTCTTCTACTTTCACTGGATAGGGGAGGGGACCTGTAAGTGAAAGTGAAACTGCATCAGAGAAAGATCAGGTCCCCTCCCGTGCTAGAAAGGGCAGTGTACATCTAAGGACTGGATGGAAATACAAATCCTTGTCGAGTAATATAAATAAATAACACTATGTATCAGTGTAGTACATCAGTCAGTAATCTGGCCATCCGAGAACTCTTCTGCTGCAATCCAAGCAGGGGTTCTCAGACACACCCACTACAGGTTCTTTGCTCTTGGGTGTACGCCAACACTATTGTATCAAAGTTTTAGTACTTATTACAAACATTCCAACAGCCCCAAATCATGATCAAGCTTGACTTGGAAGTTTGAATCTGATTGGTTCAGCTGTTAGAGTGAGCTGATTAAACCGCCCAGCCTTACGGCTTGATTCACATCTGTGCGGGTGGTGCCGCTGCGGATCCGCACAAAATCCGGCACCACCTGCACAGAGGAATGTGGACCTGCTGGTGGGTGCCATTAATTCTAATGGCACGCCGCCCGCACTGGAAATCGCAACTGTACTGGGAACCGAGGTTCCCATGCTGGCTGCGTTTTCCAAAGAAGTGCAGGGACTTATTCCCTGCGTGTCACGGGCACAGGAGTCCATTCAAATGAATGGGTCCCTGTGCAAAACGCACGGCCGCATAGATGTGAACCAGGGGTTAGTACAACATTACAACTGAGGTTCCCGTGTGGCCTGCATTTTCAGAAGAAGTGCAGGGACTTCTTCCCTATGTGTCCCGGGGTACGGGAGTCCATTAAAATGAATGGGCTCTCGTGCCTGTGCAAAACGTGGACAGCAGGAACGCGTATATATATATATATATGGCACAAGTAAATGCAGCTCTGGATTTAAATGCATTTTTTTAAATACAAGCAGTGTAAGTACCTGAATTTGAGTATGTATCAACCTTTTGAGTGTGTATCAACCTCCCTGTACAATGGAGCTCAGAGACAGAAAGCATGAGCACAGCTTGCCACACTCTTATGTCAGGAGGAAAGAGCAGAGTCACACAAAGATGAGCTAATCAATGTGCTTCTTCTACTTTCACTGGATGGGGGAGGGGACCTGTAAGTGAAAGTGAAACTGCATCAGAGAAAGATCAGGTCCCCTCCCCTGCTAGAAAGGGCAGTGTACATCTGAAGACTGGATGGAAATACAAATCCTTGTTGAGTAATATAAATAAATAAAACCATATATCAGTGTAGTACATCAGTCAGTAATCTGGCCATCCGAGAACTCCTCTGCTGAAATCCAAGCAAGGGTTCTCAGACACACCTACTACAGGTTCTTTGCTCTTGGGTGTACGCCAACACTATTGTATCAAAGTTTTAGTACTTATTACAAACATTCTAACAGCTCCAAATCATGATCAAGCTTGGAAGTTTGAATCTAATTGGTTCAGCTGTTAGAGAGCGCTGATTAAACCGCCCAGCCTTCAGAGAACCTCCCAAATGCCCAGCATGCAATGAAAAGTGGTAAATTATTAACTATCTCAGACTGTTTCAGAGAAATACAGAGAGTAGAAGCAGAGACAGCAGTATGTGTTGAGATAATTAGGTGTGAGTTGCTCATTAACATTTCTTTTGTTTCCAAGGGTGGGAAAGGTGTCTGGTGGAAGGAGTCATTAAGGTCACTTGGCAGGGGGTCTTCATGAGGAATTCGAGTTGTGAATGATCATTAACATATCTTTTGTTTCCAAGGGTGGGAGAGGTCTGAGGTGTGAATTGGTCATTACAATGTGTGACAAGCTTGGTAAGAACATCCTATGTTCAGTGTTTTGTCCATCTGAGTACCTTGAAAACGCTTTGCATGCATCTTTCATGATGAAAAAAGGCTCTGGATAGTATCGGGAATTGGAAGAGTTTAAAAAAAATTGCAAACGCTTATAAATGTGATTTGCCACATTTACACTCGTTTACAAACATTTTGCGTTTGAAACACTGATAAAATTGACTGCTGAACGCAAGTTTTCTGCGTTCAATAAAACGACTGTAAACTCAAATGCCTGTAAACGACTGTAAACGAAGATGTGTACATGGACACATAGGAAAACATTAGGGAGAGTTCAGGGGCTGCTGAAAAAAAACGCTGAACATCTCCTAAATGTGAGTTTATCAGCTGCAGTGCACATGAGCCCTTATTATGATTTATTATGTTGTTGCCTATTTCGGTTTACACCATAATGCTGCTTGTTTACTTGTTTATTTGTTATACTTGGCTCATTTATTGCCATATATTTTGTAGCTTCTGTGTACCTTATATTGTATGATTTTTAGCTACCTTACCAGAAAAATTTATAAATAAAGGAATTATAAAAATAAAATCTGTCTGCAGACAATTCCATATGACTCAAATTAAGGTAAACTGATGTTCTGTTTTTTGCACAGTTGAATCATTTGCTGGATATCGTCTGCTGATCACTGATTGGTTTCACCCATTACCCGTATTTGCTCTTTACGTTGTTCTCCATTTCCCTCTGCAGTTTGAAGAGCTGTGTATGATCAATTCCACCTTCCTGCTGCTGTGCAAGACTCCGGCCATTGCCCCTCTGCACTGGAACGCTCGGGTGGATGTAGAGTTCATCCTGGATAATCTCGTGTTCAACTTCACTGTTATCAACTCAACTCCATTCACTTATGTGCAAGATCCGGTGCTCAGGCAGCTGAATGCAGAGGACCCGGCCAAGCCGTACCGACACAAGCCTGGCAGCGTTATCTCTGTGGAGGTAATATTAGTAACATTGGTATCAATAACAGGATGAAAGTAATTTCAATATCTGCACAAAAATAAGAACAAAAGTCACATAATGACTTTTTTGGCACATTGTCATTGACTATTATTCACATTTTTTTAATATCTAAGGTGTGTTTAAGTATTGTAGATGTTATTGTAGTAAATAGGGGAGCAACTCTACGAACTCTACTAGCAAATCATATAAAAACACTGCAGCTGCACTATTATGCCTCCTTTTATTTTAAGATACTGTATAAATAAAATTTCATATAAGTTTTACTATGTTAAGGTTTTTTCAAAAGCCATTTTCAATATTTATATAAATCTACAAATTTTTTTATAAAATACTTCTGATCCTGCTGTATATTCAACCACTTCCTGTTATAGGGTGACAACACTGCGTTCCCATCTCCCAGTTGTTCTCCTGTGTTGTCACCCTTTCACACAGGCGTCATATGAAGACTACAATTGGCTACTTCAACACATATTACACAGATGTGGTGCATTGGTGTTGCCAGTCAGGAAACCCACCTTGAGAAATGCCATGCAGCTATCATGACACGACAGTTCACCAAATGTGTTGATGGCCGCATTGCAGCCATCATGACAAGACAGCCAACCAAGAGTGTTGATCACCTTACTGCCGCTAAGACCATTATAAGACAAAATGTGTGACTCTTATTGATTGGGGCTTCTGATTTTACTGAGTTTTTTTGACCTGTATGTTTTGTTTTGTTTTTTCAAAGTCAGTATCATTAAGTGTTAAAGCAAAGGACAGCCAGGCAGCTAGCATTTTCAGAAATACCTCAGCAGTAGCAGTCCCCAATGTCTCTTTCAGTAGAGGTTTCCTTTAAGGACTCCTAGGAGTGATTCTTGTTACTGTCTGACACTATTTTTTTTTATTTCCAGGGTGAAGATCTAGATCTGGCTATTACCAAAGAGGAGATGATTGCAATGATTGGGGATGGGCTGTGTATGGTGAAGACCTTGACAAGCAACCATCTGTACTGTGAACCACCAGAGAAGCAGCCATCCCCCCGTTATCCATCCAAGAGGGAAGGAGTGGATTCCCTGCCTGAGTTTACAGTAAGATGACATACATAATCCAGCTGCGACGTTACTTGACCTGCAAAATGTATTTTTTTGCATACTGCGACCACACCAAAATTCAACCAAACTGTTTTCACAATGTTCGTACTTACTCCACTCTTGACGTATCCAGGTATGAGGAACCCAAGAGCTTTTCTACATTCTGTTAATGGTAGCACTTAGGGTATGGACCCTTCTAACCCATTGACAAGTCCTGCCCAAGGGTGGACATACCATTTGTGTAGACTGAAGGTAATCGAGAGCCCTCTTGGATTTAGGTGGTCCTTTACATGGGATGTAGGTCAGTTAGGTTTTGGAATATCCTTCTGACATTATGTTATCTTAGACACCCGACCCTTCCAAGGCAGGTAACAAAAAGGAGGTATTCTTCAGGAACTGAAGTGTTCCTCTCATTTGCTTCTTGACATTATTTGAACCGGAAGTTTGGGGCATCACAAATGCTCCTATCTATCTATCTATCTATCTATCTATCTATCTATCTATCTATCTATCTATCTATCTATCTGATTGGGGATGGACTGTGTATGGTGAAGACCTTGACAAGCAACCATCTGTACTGTGAACCACCAGAGAAGCAGCCATCCCCCCGTTATCCATCCAAGAGGGAAGGTGTGGATTCCCTGCCTGAGTTTACAGTAAGATGACATACATAATCCAGCTGTGACATTACTTGACCTGCAAAATGTATTTTTTTGCATACTGCTGACCACACCAAAATTCAACCAAACTGTTTTCACAATGTTCGTACTTACTCCACTCTTGACGTATCCAGGTATGAGGAACCCAAGAGCTTTTCTACATTCTGTTAATGGTAGCACTTAGGGTATGGACCCTTCTAACCCATTGACAAGTCCTGCCCAAGGGTGGACATACCATTTGTGTAGACTGAAGGTAATCGAGAGCCCTCTTGGATTTAGGTAGTCCTTTACATGGGATGTAGGTCAGTTAGGTTTTGGAATATCCTTCTGACATTATGTTATCTTAGACACCCGACCCTTCCAAGGCAGGTAACAAAAAGGAGGTATTCTTCAGGAACTGAAGTGTTCCTCTCATTTGCTTCTTGACACCATTTGAACCGGAAGTTTGGGGCATCACAAATGCTTCTATCTATCTATCTATCTATCTATCTATCTATCTGATTGGGGATGGACTGTGTATGGTGAAGACCTTGACAAGCAACCATCTGTACTGTGAACCACCAGAGAAGCAGCCATCCCCCCGTTATCCATCCAAGAGGGAAGGTGTGGATTCCCTGCCTGAGTTTACAGTAAGATGACATACATAATCCAGCTGTGACATTACTTGACCTGCAAAATTTATTTTTTTGCATACTGCTGACCACACCAAAATTCAACCAAACTGTTTTCACAATGTTCGTACTTACTCCACTCTTGACGTATCCAGGTATGTTGAACCCAAGAGCTTTTCTATATTCTGTTAATGGTAGCACTTAGGGTATGGACCCTTCTAACCCATTGACAAGTCCTGCCCAAGGGTGGACATACCATTTGTGTAGACTGTGAAGGTAATCGGGAGCCCTCTTGGATTTAGGTGGTCCTTTACATGGGATGTAGGTCAGTTAGGTTTTCGAATACCCTTCTGACATTATGTTATCTTAGACACCTGACCCTTCCAAGGCAGGTAACAAAAAGGAGGTATTCTTCAGGAACTGAAGTGTTCCTCTTATTTGCTTCTTGACACCATTTGAACCGGACGTTTGGGGC